AAGAAAGAAAGAGAGAGATACGGAGAGGGAGAAAAGGAGGAGGCCACACAATCCGCAGCCGTTGGCTACAACAAGATCGCTTGAGCCAGACCATCTGCTATAGATTATAACGATTCATCTGAGAAAGCATGAGAGAGGGAGGGGAAATAAAGAGAGGGGGACGTCAGACCAACTCAAAGACACATTCAAATAAAGACTGAGTGAGTAAGCCAATGAATGAGTAGCTGAGCGATAGAGTGAATCCATGAGCGAGTGTTTGAATAGATGAGTGGCTGAGCAATCAGGGATTGATTAAGTAGGTGAATAAAGGTGAGACTGAATGAATGAGTCAGCAAGTGAATGAGTAAATCAATGAGTGAATACATTTAAAAATACATTAAAATAGAAAACAGTTCTTTTAAACGGTAATATTAAATATGTAATATTTCAAAACTGTATTTTTGATCAAACTAATTTAACCTTGCTAATTATTCCAAACTTTTGACAGAATAAACTTACTCATATTGTGAAATAAGATTTTGGTCACCCTTTGATCACCCATGAAACATAACATTGTCATGTAAATACCAGTAATTTTCATATTATCTACAGCTTGTTAGATGTAGAAATCTGAGGTGAAATAAAGTAGCGCTGTAAGATTATTTTTATTTGAATGAATTCGAATGAATTAATGAGAGAGAAGGATAGAGAATGCACGAGCGAGTAACCTAATAGTGAAGCTTGGTTTAATTACAAAAACCTCATTGCTGAGAAATATAATGTAGCCTTTAGTAGTAAAGCTGTTGTATTTATAAAATTCACAGGGCAGGGGTTGAAAAACAGCTCCTGAATGTCGCGCAATTTCTTACCTATAAAGTTCCCACCACAATCGCTATTGTCATATATGTCAACTATGTTTTTGAACGTGAATCAATCCACGTTTTTGAACAAATCAGAATGAATGAACGAGTGAGTCAATGATTCAGTGACCTATTCATAAAGATAGTCACTTGTCTCGTTTCTGAATGAATCAGCTGTTTGAATGAATCGGTTGAATGCATGACTAAGTGTCTACACTGTAAAAAACCCAACTTGAAAAAAGTTTAAATGGCTGGTTTTGTTGTGTTGGGTCAGCAAAAATCCATGAATAAGTTTAATACATTTATTCAGCTTAAACCAAGTTTTTTTCCATAAACTTAAAAAGATGAGTTTTGTGAACAGCGCTTTGCAAGTTCATCCAAAGAAACTTCTGCCAACTTATAAAATTGAGTTAAGTCAATCTCATTA